TTTTTTTTTAAAGCTAATTCTTTAAGCCCAACCAATTCAATCACCTGTCGAATCTGGACAGGATGGCCTTTCAGGCCTTTTTATTGTCATTATAGTATTACGGGGAACCCTGTGGCAGCCACATCCATGCTCAAGCCTCCAACGCGGGAACATGCGGGGGCTGCACCCACCAGCAGGTGGGCGATACCAGCGAGGGGTCAGCCGGTAGCATCACAACCGAACTTCTTCGATGGGCCAGTCACTGTGCCTCCCCTCCGGTCCCCTCCCCCTATGAACATCAGCAGTCCCTGCTCAATGCCACTCCCCTCCCCCTATGAACATCAGCAGTCCCTGCTCAATACCACTCGGGGGGACCAACGGCATATCTCTAGGTGCCGGCCGCCAAACTTGCCCAGGAAGGTACATGAGGCCAATGGGGATTGAACCCAAGACCTCCTGAATGCCACTTGCGTGCCTTACCAACTGAAATAACCAAGGGGATTGAACCCAAGCTAGGCCTGCTGACTGTGGCATCGCGGCCCGAATCTGCTGAGAAAAAAAGAAAAAAACAAGACCAACGCTGCCTATCTCAAGACCCATGTAGTAAGGCCCGCAACGTATCTTTCCATGTTCCAGCGGAGGATTCAGTGTCAAGACACATGTAGTGCGCACCGCTGGCTGTGGCATCGCGTCGCCCGAATCTGGTGAAAAAAAAAAAGGAAAAAAAAAAGACCAATTCTGCGTAACCGCTCGCCACAAGAAAAAGAAAAGTGCGAAACGTCACGTGGGCCGTGCTGCTGTGTGCTTGTATTCCAATGTGAGCAGCCTCCCGTGTCACTTTTTTCACGGTTTTTTTTTTTGCCCACCGGACTGAACTTTGGTTGGGCCTGGCCCGGGACCCGCGATGTTTCCCCAACACTGGCTGCGGGTCTTGCGTGGGAGCGTCAGGCGGGACCCGCTATTTGCTTAAGTAAGAGTAAGGGAGAAATGCCTGGCCTCGATGGGTTACCAGTGGAATTGTATTTATCGGCATGGGAAGCCTTCAACCTGTTTCTGTGTCAAATTTTTAACAGTAGTCTCACCTCAGGCCTCCTTCCTAGAGGATGGCTAAAAGGAGTAATCTCCTTACTATACAAAAAAAGAGATAAGAGGGACATGCGAAACTACAGGCCTATCTCTGTCCTTAACGTGGCCTACAAGATCCTGGCTAAGGCCCTCACCAATAGACTCGCAGATATCCTACCTGGCTTGGTTCGTAAAAAGCAAGGGGCCTTTGTCAAAGGAAGGTCCATTTTTGATAATATTCTTTGGGCCTCGTTCGACACTACCTGGAAATTGCTGTTTTTCAAGGAAGCGTCGTTCGACCCCGCCCTAATCACGCACCCTTGAAGTTGCTAATTGTTTCCACATCCCCATGGCCAAGTGTCCGCCCTTGAAACGGAAGTGCGGCCCAGGCAAATCGACGAAAATCCCAAGGGTGCCTCGGGAGGTCACTTGTGGCACAAGGGTTTCACCCTTCAAAACGGGGAATATACGGACCTTTTTCTTTTTTGCATTTTTTCTCCACCAATCACCACTGTTCCTGATGCAATGCCGTCAGCACTTCAGTTTCAAGGACGTTCGTCTCAAGGGTTTCATCAAGGGGTTGTGGAACGAAAAAACTAGGGGAAATTAATCACCTTCCGTGAGTTAGGGTGCCCTTGAAACTCAAGTACTTTCAAGTGGTGTCGAACGAGGCCCTTTCTACCATTCACGCCGTAGAGATTTTAGGGACAGAAACGAGAGACGTGGCCGCGCTGTTGCTCGACATGGAAAAGGCATACGATAAGGTAGGGTGGGCCTTTGTGTTCGCCACCCTGTCAAGAATGGGGTTCGGCGCAGGGTTCTGCACATGGGTTAGAGCCATGTACTCAGAGGCTTCTTCTGTGGTAATAGTCAACGGGCGCTTGTCAGATGAGTTCCCTCTCACAAGATCTTTGCGGCAAGGCAATTGGAAGTTTTGCTGAAATAACATTCGAATGAATGATAGGGTAGTTGGGTTGAGCATACACCCTCGGATTCACTTGAAGGGGGGAGCTCTAGCAGACGATGTTGCCATTGCATGTAAGAATACTGTAGAATCACTTTCAGAACTCAGGAGGGTTTTGGAATTGTACTGTGAACTGTCGGAGGCGCCGTCAATTAACTGGAATAAATCAGTCTTTTTCTTACCAGCGCCATTTGTCCTATGTGTGGATTGGGGTCTACGTCAGATCCCTACACACTGCTCAGACCGCTTCCTGGGGTTCCAAGTGTCTCTTTCAGATTGTTCCAACACCCAAGACGCACTTCTCATGGAAAAGGTTACGGCACGCATCATGGGATGGGCCAGGAACTTCAAACTGTCTATTTTCAGAAGGGCTCTAGTCCTGACCTCGGCTGCCTTCTCAGTGCTATGGTTTCCCTTATCGGTACACTACTTGGGCGACGAAGTGTATTCACGATGTGATGCCCAACCTCGCGCCCAGCGCGACTTCCTGATCGGAGTGGGATGTGTGTGCCAAGGATTTTTGGGAAAAGTGGGGGAGTCTTAGGGGTATGAATGCAATTAGACAACGAGGGGCGCGTGGGACTCAAGGCCCGATGGGGCCGGGGTACTGTGTGCGACGGTTTGCGGGGAAGTCCCTCCACGGAGGAGGCGGTCCCGAAAAGTTGGGCCGTCGGGGGCCGCCACGCGGCGCAGGCCGCTGCGTGTTTGAGTTGGGCCTTCGGAATTCTGGGGTTCTCCGATCGCCGCTACATCGGCAATTTCCGCAGGGCGTGCTGGGCCAATAGGGGGCTATGGCCGGCCACGGAACGACGCTGAGTTGATGATACGGGAGAAGAAAAAAGGAGGGAAACTGGTGGTGATGGCGACAAATCCCGGGTGGATAAAGTAGTAGGTATGGTCGGGAGAAGGGAAATCAGAGCACCGGGGGTCGCTAGTGGTGGCGCAGTGGAACTCCCGAGGACACAGTCGATTCTCAGTGTGGCAGGGGTATCGCTGCCTTAGGAGTTCGCTTATCCAAGGGGTGAAATAATCCCGGTCGTAGGATGAGTCTGAATCGCAGGATCGCGTCATCATGACATTGCGATATTATGAGTTGCCTAAAGAACGGGTCACAGTTGCCTCGTGCAAGCACGTGCAGGCCGCGCGACTGTCGTTGGACTTATGCGTGCTTGTACGAGACGATTGCGTCGTGGCGGATTTCGAGATGGCCACTCTCAATCGGACGGATTGATGGTCCCGACGAGTCGACGCCCCGGGATATGTGTAAGTGCGCAACTTAGATTGCGTCTTACACGTGTCCTCGCGCGGCGTTCACCGAGCCCGACATCCGACCGCCTAATCGCTTCGTTATGCTCTGAGTTATGCAAGATGCAATGGTCACAAACAGCTCGATCAAAAGACAAGCAGAGACAAAGACGGGATTATCGATTGCGCAAAATCCCTATTCTACACACGAGTGCATCAAATGCGATCAACAAAAGCAAAGACAAAGGTTCCTCAGCAAAAGATAGGCAATCAAACATAGCATCCATACATCCATTTATTCCGTAATCATACACATAATGCAATCGAGACGAAAACCGCAAGGATAAGTGTGAGCAAAAAACCCAAGTCCAGATTCCAGAAAGCCGAAACGAAAACAAGAACGGGCAAACCGCCCGGGGCCGCAATCAAAATTTATATACACAAGACAGGGGGAAGAAGAGAAAAGAAACAGCAAAACCGCGTCCATCAACCTCAACTCTCTCTTCCTCTCTTCTTCTCCGATGCGGACAGTCCGTCGTTGCGCACCAACCCACGAAGCCGTCACCCCGCTTAGTCCTCCCGCACCCGTCAGGTTCGCCCGCGCCCATAGTCCGTCGTGGCCCTCGTCAACCCCGCGCGTTCGGCACCAGCTCGTCGGGTCGCCCGACTCCTGCTCTACTCACCTCTTACTTCGCTCGTGTGCCGACCCTTCCTGATCGCGCCACCCCGAGCTTCCAACAATGGGTTAAGAGAGCTAACTAATCACGCAGCCAGATTTTATAGCGTGCATGCATGCGCGAAGGACACGGAAGCACCAAGACTTAGAGCGGGGATTAGAGAGGGAGTACCTGCATTCTGCATGATCAGGCCGCGGCGTGGGGGACGTAGCCCTTCTCCACGCATCGATCCGAGCACGCAAGCCGCGGCTTACAAAAATCACAGTAAAAGAAAGAGAGGGAGGGCGGGAGAGACGAAGTGCAAGAAGAAAGATACAATTACGATGGCGCCCTCCCAAAATTACAGTTACACACGCGATTAAGGGCGCCCACTAATCCGAATACTGTTGCAGCCGCATGAAGAAGCGCGTAGACAAAAGGCGCCGCGGGGCAGAAAAATCCTAATTACTGAAATCCTAAATTCCTAACTAATTCGAAAAGCAAAAGTACAGGTTCCGGGAGGAAAGTCCGAAATTCCGACAAAATTCAAAAAAGATTTGAAAGAAAAATTCAAAAAGACCAATGCAAATTCCCGCGCGAGGTTCGCGCCCAAAAGATCGAAACCGAAGCGAAAGAAACGACATCAGCATTCGCGCGCCCGGAGGCGCGCCAGCCACCCAGCCGACCAATCAATCAACCGGCCATCCGAGGACACGCCCATTTCCGAACCCAACCATTTGAAAGAAGCGACGGAAAAGACGAAAAAGCAAGGACACAGATGCAATTTTCCACCGATCCCGATCTCCCGTAATTGGCCCAACCTTCCCAGCTTAGGACCCCTCGTTGCAACCGCGCAGAAAATCGCGCGTTACAGAAAGTGGTTCGTCACATATGTGACGCCCAGGGGGTTCCAATATTAGCAAGCTCCTGCTTGCTCGTTGACACGTGTCGATTTCTCTAATAGATCGACACGCGGAGCATCTCTCTTTATGCCACTTACCGTTCAATTGAGTGTGGACGTCACCCATGTGGTAAGACTGCTCTTCTACTAATTCCTCAGGGTGGGTTTTCGACACTCCAAGGAGGGGGATTACACGTGCCGCTGTTATGACACGTGTCCATTAGCCATGCATCAGTGCAGCAGGAGGGTAGACCCTAGACCCTAGACGTTCCCGGGGAATGGCAGTCGAATCACTGAAGGTGGAGGTGGCGGATGGTTCAGGGGAAGAGGGGGCATGAATCGATTGATGGCGGGAGAGGCGAAATCAGGAAGGGTAGCGTAGTGGAAGGAGCGATGGATGCGGGGGAAGCGAGGGACCTTGTGGAGATGGCGAAAAGCGGCGATGTAGTCGGGGTAAATGGTGGAAAGGGTCCGTCGCAAAGCCGTGCGAAAATCTTCGTAGTTTTCGCAGGCGGGAATAGTTCTAGATATAATACAGTATATTTCTACGTGGTTATATTCCCGCCAGTCTGCGCTAAACAGGAGCACGTGAAGGAGAAAGGAATCAACCACAGAACGGGTGGTGGCATGCGGATAAACGGAGACTAGAAGGCGGGTAGCGTAGAGATGGTAGAAAAGGTGATGGGGGAAAGGACACCAACCATCGGGGAACGGGGGTCTATCGGGAAGACGGGTAAGCATGAGGTAGTCACGGGGTCAGCGAGAGAACGACCGGGGACGAAGCCCGAACGCCGAGATCTTGATGTACACGAATGGAGGATCGGGACGGGGAGCCGGAGGGAACTGGCGATTCACTTATTCTTTTTCTGCTTCGTGATCCCTCTACTGCGGTTCCATCGTCCTCTTCTTCTGGTGGCTCCGAATCATGCCACGGGTCCCCGATCGATGGATCGTTTGTCGCGGGTCGTTTTCCCTCCGCGGTCTCCTGGCGCCTTCGTTTTCTGTGCTCTTGCGCTCTTTCTCGAGCCGCGTCGTGCACTTCAGCCTCGAATCCTTCGTACTCCGACTCCGCTTGCTCGTTTCCTTCTTCTTCTTCCTCTGGTTCCACCTCCTCCTCCTCTTCGTCTGCTCCCCCTATCTCCTCGTCCTGCGCCGCGTCTTGCCTCGCAATCGGGTCCCAAAACGTGAGATCGGTAACGTCGATCTCCAGGTAGAGCGCCTGGGAAGGATAGAGACAGTTGTCCTCGTCAATCTCGTACACGTGGACCACACAAGGTGCGGCTCGAGCATTCGAGACAGCACGTGGGTGCCAGGCTGCTTGTCACTGTGCGACAAGATGTCCAGGGGCAGATCGTCCAATAGCTGAGTCAGAAACACCAGCAATTCGTTCGTGATCAAGGCGAGATTACCTTCCTCCACCTTTCCGAATACGATTCCCAGCAGGTCACCTTGCTCCGCCGTTCTCCAGGCTTGGATGATCAGAAGCTCCACGCTGTCCGCTGGGTGCTCTGGACCTTCTCCGAATGGGGCCGCTTCTGACCAACGGAACTCTATCTCCAATGGACAGAAAATGAGCTCGATATAGTCTTCCCACCACGCGTCCCACTTTTCCTCGCTCAATAGCGGCACACTATTCTCCTTAACACGGTAGGAGAGAGTAGGAGCCCGCGCAGACTGCCAAAGGGTGGGGATGCTGGAGGGGAGGCCAAAGTAGGAGACGCAACGATGACTCATTGGTGCGGCGCGAAGGGACGAAGCTGGGGGAGCACGATCGCTGGCGAGCTTCTAGACGAGCGGAGCTGGAGGTCCGTGTCATGCGCCGACACGACGGTGTCTCCTCGCCAAGCCAGGAGATCGGTCCACGCTGTCCGCACTTCCCCAGCCCAGATGCGCAACGTCCGATAGATGTCGGAGTGAATCTCCGACGGAATCGCGGTGATGTCTCCTGTAAAGACGATGACGACGGCGATATGGCTAATCGTGGGAGGGGATAGCCGTCGAAAGGCCGAATGGCGATGGTGACGGGGTAAGAGAGAGAGAATAGAAAGGAGACAAAGAGATAGGAGAGATGTAGTCGTTGCCTTCCTCCGCAGTGGAGGAGGAATCGTGTGAATGCGAAGATGGAGAGGGAGGAAGGGGACGAAGGTAGGACACATGGCGGATGATCGGGCGAGCCGATCGGCTGCCGGAGACCTCAGGCGTAAGCCGCACGGTGTTCACGCCGTTCGGTCCGAGTTCGATTACGCGAAATCACCCGAAGAATCGTGGCGCTAGCTTACCCTGGCGAGCACATTTCCTCACCTGCACGATGTCCCCCAATTTGTACTGGGGCCGTGGTCAGTCATGCGTTCCCATTCCGGGCCTCGTAGCTTCGGACCTGTCGGCCTTGGGCCAATTCGGTCATCCTGTGCCGTTTTCGGGCTATAGCCTGGGCAAGGACCGTTCCATTAGTTCCAAGTGTCGTTTGGCCTTGTCCCGAGCCGTGGCCCTGGTGGGACGTCGGCTCAATGTAGCCTCATCTGGGAGGCTTGGTATTGAAACGCAAGCGACGCTATTGGTCCTTAATTGGAAGGGGCTTAACCCTGTCGATTCGTGGGGCGTTCCGCGGTGGACCGCCAGGATGTGATCTGCGATATCGGGCCAGGGCCTTGGATCCCGTGCCGCAATATTTCGTCGCAATGCTGTCTTTATCACCCGGTTAGCGTTCTCGACCAGCCCATTAGATTGTGACATGTGGGGTGCAGTGTTCCGTATGGCGACGCCATGTAGGACCAGATTCCTTAGCACCTCTCCCCTAAATTCAGCCCCGTTGTCGGTCAGGATCTCTTCCGTATCCTGATGCATCCCGAGGAAACGGTTGACGTATCGTGCGATTTCCGTGGCTTGCCGTGTGCGACAAGGGTACGCCTCGATCCATTTTGAGAAATGGTCGACAAATACCAATAGGACTGAATATCCATGCTCACTCTTTGAAATGGTCGTTCAACTACCGTGGGCACTATCGACCTTGGGGGCTGAATCGGCGCTTTATCAGCGGCGCAAACTTGACAGTTGGCGACGATGTATTTCACATCGTCGCGGATATTGGACCAGTACCACTCATTTTTGTCGATAGCGGACTCCGTGATTCGTACGGCAAAATGAGCCGCAGTTTCCTCGTGCGCCGTCTTAACCCAGTCATACCGCATGAATGGATGCGGCACAACCATCCAAATCCCACTGC